GAGCGCTGATTTCTCCGAGATGCTAAAAAACGTCGGTGGAATGCCTTCATTGAAAGCACTCGATCAGCTGGCCAAGTTGGCGGAAGATGGGGATGGTATACCGACTACACCGCTCCCCACTGCTGCCTTACCTCTGACGCCTTGCAGCGATGCTACTGTTACCGATGATGCTGTTCGGCCGCTTCCAATTCCGCGAAGTAAGACATTACGCAAACTCCCCCCTACAGGACGCCTCGAAGGGCGTCCTAGCACTGAGTCGAGTCGAGCTCCACCCACAGCTTTTGGACAATCTAGACGGCACGATAACGAGGGGTCTAGAGGCCAGTCATCAAACCCAGCCCATCATGGCTGGCCTTCGACCTCGAGCGCATCACATACCACGGCATCTGATTCGAGCGGAGTCAGACAGTCAACAGATAGCTCAGATTTGGTGGTTTGTCGATTGCAGGAGGCGTATGCCGATGCCACCGAACGAGGAGCTCAGCAGCTGAAGCTTGACAAAGGATTTGTGGAGGCCATATTGACGGCGTTTGAACAGCGCCAGAAGGCATTTGACCAGCTCAAGGTCAAGTATGATGGTGCCAAGCGGGCTAGCCAGCAATATGTGGATGGTCTGACAGTCGCTTCGACGGAGTATGACCAGGAGCTCAAGGCTAGAAGGGATGCTGAAGCCGAAGTGACCCGTTTGCGGGTGCTTCTATCTGGGCAGGCGGTGCGACTCACCACCATCTCCGGAGAAGTCAAGAGACAGGAGCTACGGCAACAAATGTCCCAGGAGCTCAATGATAATCTTGACGAACTCGAAGGTAACCTGTCGAAGCTCAAGGTGGAAAGAGACATGACTCTGGCTGAAGTGGAAGAGCTCTCAGCTTCCAAAAGCGCCCCGATTCTTGCCAATGGTGAAGTACCTGCGGTTAAGCTCAGTAGGTCCCTCACTATGCGATTGGATAACATCAAGACGCAATATCAACACGAACTCGTTCCTCTTACCCGCCAACGTGATACGTTGAATCGCGAGATTCTCGACCTCAAGGCCACCCGTGACATGTTCCTGGAGGAAACGACTGCTCTCAATGCCCGTAACGAGGAGCTAGCGCAGTTGAGTGCCCAGTATGCCCGACGGATGGACAATTCGAATATACCCGATGCCCCTCCAACATACCGTCATGAACACCATCCTCCCCCACATGAGAGAAAGAGCAGCTCATTTGATAGGAATCGCACACAGCAGTCCGGACAAGCTCCTGGAGTTCAACCTTCTTTCAGCACGTCAACCACAAGCTCAACAACGCTATCAGACGAATCGAGTGTTGCACACAGCAGAAATCACAAGATCCCGCCCGACATGGGTTCTCCTGTGTCTCGACCTGGAAAGTTCAAATGGAAAGCGTCAAAACCAAGAGACCCTTCATCAGCCACCGTTGGAGATCATAAACCAACTGGGCGTATTGAGCATACATTCCAACAACTCAGCGTATTACGCCTCACTCGCTGTGACCAGTGTGGTGACAAGATGTGGGGTTCACAACTTCGTTGTACAGGTAAGTACGGCTTCAGAGTCACAGGAAAAGCAACGCTGACAATCATGTCCATGTGGAGGTTGCAATATCTCTGTACATGTACGATGTATCAACCACGTCCAACCTGCTTGCTCGAATCATCCACCGTCAAATCGCGAACCCCAAGCAAGCCTCGCTCCTCTCCGTAGGTTTCAGCTATTCTGTGCTGTCAACAATCCCTGCTGATCCTTGCTCCTTCCATAGCACCATCTATGTTCGGGCGAGATTTGGGGGAGCAGATCAGAGCGGATGCCAAAGGTGGGGACCGTAAAATTCCCGTCATAGTCGAGAAGTGCATCGATGCCGTGGACACCCTTGGTACGCTTATTTCTTGATTCGTGGGAGTTTTTTCTTATATGTGTATAGCTCTGGACTACGAGGGTATCTATCGCAAGAATGGCGGTTCAGGGCAGTCAAAGACGATTACCCAGCTTTTTGAGCGTGGAGATTACCGTTCTTTTGATCTGCGAGATCAGGAGCAGTTCAACGATATCTGCAGCGTCACATCTGTTCTGAAGACGTACTTCAGATCATTACCAATACCTCTGTTGACGTATGACCTACATGACGAGTTCATGTTGGCGGCTGCTATCAAAGATCCCGATGCCAAGTACGAGGCACTACTGGGCGCAGTGAACAAATTGCCGAATGAGCACTATTTCACTCTACGTTCGTTAATGTTACATCTGCACAAGTGAGTCCACATAACTACTCGCTTTAATTATATTTCTAACAATTTGTTCAGCGTTCGTCAGCATAGCGAGGTCAATTTGATGACTGCGCGGAATTTAGGCGTCGTGTTTGGTCGTGAGTTGCACTTGCCTCCCTAAACAGTTTGTTCACAGCTGATGGATTTATCATAGCAACCCTTATGCGATCTCCGGACCCGAGTGCCGAATTCAATGACATGGCGGGCAAGGCTATATCAGTGGAGTGGCTTGTCGATAATGCGCCCGCTGTATTTGCAAGCCCGCTTCCATCACACTGATAATATTTTATGCGTATTGTATTCCAGTTCTATTGTTGCTTTTCACGGCGGTCCGTATTTCTTTCGGTTTGCACCTTGTAGATGGCCTCCGCTGTATATTATCTTTCCATATGGGCTTATTAGGGCTTGCATGTAGGTCCCTTCCTCCTTTGTTGCCTTCGCTCATTCATTCGTTCACCCATACCTTGCCGTATCTCGATAATTATACCCCCACATATTCCCCGTACGCATATGTAAAAAATTCGCATAGAGATGGAAATTTATATTATGTTTGACCAGATATTTATTACAATTGTTGTGATCATAAATGCCAGAATGCGAGCGAGTACAGCAGCAACATGCAAGGTTGTTAGAATTCTCTAGAACTCTTTCCGCGAGGTCCAGTCTCGGGTTTGAAAGAACAGTATAAGAAGTGACGACGAGGCCCTGTCATACTTTCCGCAACAGCGGCGACGCGAGCACCGAGCGGAGCGGTATCTGTACCGCTACCACGAACGCCCAAGGAGAACATCCTGTCAAACACTGCCAAAGGTCATGGAGGATAAGAATGGGACGGGAAGAGAATGAGATCTGGCCTACGAGTGGCTGTGAAAGCTTTGGCGGTTGTTTGACAAGCGAGATGGGTCAAAGATAATGGTGGACTGACGCCTTCTAGTGTACGTAGGAAACGATAGACGATCGATGGCTGGCATGGACCTGGGCAGCATTGCGAGCGTAAGAGAGAGGGGATCAGTTAGCAAGCCAAATAGAAACTGACCAAATCGGAAGACAGCGTTATAGGCTTGTCTCCATTTTTCTTCGAGCAGTCGAGCGCAGTTTGCCGGGTCGGGACATGTCGAACACTGGGGGATATGTCCAAAGTCAGGGCGATATGAAGGCGAGGGAGATTTGGGCTTACACATTGATATTCTTTGGCTAAAGGAGTCAGGCCAAGTTTGAGCACACGTTCAAGGAACCAATTTCGTCTATCACGACAATCAGCCTTTGGTGACGTAGATGATGGCGGAAAAAAGCCAGACTCGCCTTTTTTCGAGTTTAAGCAGGGTCTCCTGACTTAAGGTGCTCAGCTCCTGTTCAGTCCAACCGCCCGGGTTATCAAGCACGAATCGACTACTCTCGCGATACAGCTCTTCCTCCTCGAAAAGTTCTGCTATTCGCATAGCTTTGATAGGCTTCCCAGCAGCGTGTGTGAGGAGGAATTTGAGACATTGGTGTTGTAATGATGGGACGCAGAGTTTGTGTGATATATTCATGAGGCCTTCGACGTTGTTCCATGTTATGGTACAGTCCAGGCTGCCGATATAGGATTTGTAGATACATTGCGTGGTGTATGGTGAAGAGCTGACTCACTGTGGATATACGTATTTGAGGAAATCGTGGAATGTGCTCGCCTGATGCGGGGAGATGAACGGACAGAGATCGGAAATACACATATACAAAGGATACATACCCTCTCTTCCTTGAGGACGATAACAGCATCAGGCCCACTCGCTTTCGGCCGTCTCGTAACAGTCGCCTGCGCAGGTTGATATACCAGTTTCGGAGGAATCCCATCTCCACCGTCGCTCGTCCTAACATATCGCCTCATCTTCAATTTTTTACCATCCCGCGAACGAGTCGGAGCCGTGCCACACCCGCTCTGCAGTTGTGCAAGACTCATATCCCTAGCTTTGGCTTTATCCTCGCTGCTGAGTGGTTCTTTTGCCTCCCCAGGTTCATCGAGTCCGATCAACTCGGCGTCGCTGCCGTCGCTCTCGCTTGCGGTACGATCGCCACTTTCACTCTTCCCGCCGTTATCAGAGTCGAATGCCAGATCTATGTCTTCCGATTCGGGGTCCATTGGGGTAAATGTTATTGCGGGTGTTTCTTGCTTATCTTTGTCGCCAGGGTTTGAGGGCGGTTGTGAGATGGTGATCACGGAGGACATCGATGGTGGTCGACCAGTTTCGGCCCAACCACCACTCAGAGCAGCTTCAAAGAAAGGTGATGCGAAGAACAACACCTCCTTGTGTGCCCTGAACACCCATGAGAACGTCAAGTCATACATAAGAACATTCAAACAAATTCACCAGAACGTCGTGCTCTCCACTATAATCTTGACAGTCCCAGGAAACCGACTATGCTTAGTAAAAGCATCATCTATATCAATAGCTTCCTCATCATCATCCGTGCTCAGCTCAGAAATGATATCGTCTGTCTCGCATTCCTCCAATAGCCAGGGAGGGGAGCCAGACGATCGGAATATGCCAGAGGCTGCTGCGTGAGTCTCTGTGGGGGAACTGAGGGCTGCAGAGGGGTTGTTTGGGCCGCGTGAGTTGCGTGCTATGAGGATGTGAGATGGGTTTGTGGTCATCTTGGTGGACACACGATGAGGGATTGGAATAACACAGATGAAGGAAGATCGAGCGGGGATGCCATGGGTTATGGGTGATTACCAATCTTAATGTGCCGAAGGCCTAATAGTCTAGCGGTTATGACGTTGGATTCTGATTCCAGAGGTCCAGGTTCGACTCCTGGTTGGGCCTTACGAGGGCATGTCTCTTTTTTCGACATCGGTCTCCTATAGTAGTGCTTAAATTGAATAGCTAACAGTTGGAGTAACCAGATCAGTCGAGTAAATATGATAGGCAGCCGAATTATTATGAAATCGTAAAGTACAGCCAGCCATTCAAGGTTTATTACGCTTGTGTCTTTCTCCCTTCGACTTCGACTTTGACTCGACGTCCTTACCCTCATTCCCGCCGTCTTTCCGCTTCCGTTTCTTCTTCTTTTCCTCTTTTGCCTTTACTGCCTCGGCGGCCTCCTCTTCGGCTCTCCGTTTCGCCTCCAATGCTACAGCCTCGTCACCCATCCTCCCCAGTCGCTCGAACATATCTATTTCCTCATCTTCGCCTCCCTCCTCCTCCTCGATCGGCAGAATAGTGTCCCGCACGACGGCAGTCGAGCTCTCCGATGCTGGTTCTGACATCGCTTTCATTGTCATCTGAGGAATGTGCGCGGGAGAGAACGGGTCAGGCTGTATCGAGCCTCGCAATGACAGCATTTCATTCGCGATTGTGAACCTATCAATAATGATAATAATGACAATAAGTATATTCCCTAGCACGGTATGATAAAGAAGAGGCCCTTACCCGATCACGGTAAACTCCAAAAACCCATCCAAACCACCTAATTTCGCCCCTGTGATACTATGTACCCACTTCCCGCCTTCCTCCGCCTCCTCACGCGCAGAACCTCCTTCGGAATGTTCACCATCCTCTGACCCACCCCCTACACCCGGACCAAACTCCGGATCGTTCTCCGCTGCTCCATATTCGAATTCCCAGTGTTCGGTGGGTATGTGATGTCGGGGTATGGATACGTTAAATGTGCGATGTATGAGGAGCGCTACGTGGTCTGGGGAACATAATTTGACTTGTCCGACTGTGTATGATTCAAATTAAATCCCAATGAATATGTTTAGTAATTTATTGAGTGCTTATGAGGGACTGGGAGACGTACCAAGTTTCATGCCGATATGTGGACTCCACACCGTTGCGTCAAATCCGACATTGCACACGGCGAACGGACAGTCCGCTTTTATCGTAGCTCTGCGGTCCAAGAAATGTAGATTGGAGTGTGCGAGTACCACGCCCTCAAAAGCAGGGATATACCTATGTAGCCCCAATTCAGACCACAAAATCCTTCATAAGTGTTCGTAAAGAAATCGTACCTCATAACCATAGAATCCAACATCTCCTCTACACCCGCGCGTGGGTTACTAGCAAATACAGGAGGGATAGAAACCACCAGCGAAGCATTCACGAGTCTAAACTCGCTCCCTCCCCCGCTCGCCTTCGATTTACCCTTATCGTCCTTCTTCTTTACTTTATTTTTGTCATGTTTGGATTTTTTGCTCAGTGAAGCGGATGGTTCGAGGGAGAGGTGCGTGAGGTGTTTTCGTTTTTTTGTGAGTGTTTCCGTTAGCTGGGACATGGATGGCATGTATGGCTGTAGGCGCTCTGAATGAAAACTATTTTCCGTTCTACCACGTGGGGGCGGACCACTCTTCCGCTGTTACATTCGCTTCGCTAACGGTCTTCATTCTCGTGCCTCTGTATTACTGGTGTTCATGGCGAGCTAAACCCCATAATCGTGTCGCCCGATATTCTGATAATCTTTACATTCCAGTCTGCACCCAAAATCATAGTCCAACTCGTCGTCACAGGTGCCCAAATCCTAGGCAAAGCTTTTTACGAAGCTGGCAAACAAGCCGTCAAGAGTAGGTCCCTCCCTACTACACATACGCACATGTACAAACTTTATTATTATTATCTAACCAATGAAATGTAGATGCGAAACAAGCACCCCCAGGAGCGATAACGAGCGACGTCGCTGGGGTGCGGAATGCTACTTCTACGTCGTGGACGGACAAGCTTACGCGTGAACATCGGATGACGCTTGATGAGGCGCATTTGATCTTGAATACGAAAAAGGAAGAAGAGCTTGAGCGTGTACTCAGGGTACGTTTTGTATTTTGTGTTTCGAATTTCTTGTGTCTCCCAGTTTTCTTTATACATCTACGTGCCCATCGGAATGACTCATTCTTCAACCTCAGAACTATGAACACCTATTCAAAATGAACTCCCCCGCGTCTCCCTCTTCATCATCAGAACCCACCCCTACCCCACGGCCAACAGCTGGTAAACAACCAGTATTACCCTCACATTCACATTACCTCCAATCAAAAGTCGTACGCGCACGAGAACGAATAGAGGCAGAGCTGAAAATTGCTCAGGAGGACGCTGCCTCTCCTGCTACTCATGAAGCTCCCGGATCGGCACCGCCGCCACCGTCAGAAGGAGGAACAGGTCCGGGGAGTAAGCCTTCGTGACGACCGGACGAGAAGGATTGGATTTATTGGTTGTAGCATTTTAGATTTGCTTTGCTCCTTTCATATCACCACCCCACACCCCACCTCACTCACATTTACTTAATGGATCAATTGCATATCTTACCCGCATCGTAACCTTCGTGACAGGCATCTGGATTTGCAAGGCGGCCGTGGAGTGTCACCACTACACATGGCGATTTGAAGGACTTCACTAGTTTGAAGGTCGATTTCTGATTACATTTTTCGAAACCTTAGACCCTATGGCAAACCGACGGAGTACTCGAGTACACCTATGGCGGTGCCTTGCGACGACGCACCGGCTACTAGCAGGTGTGCTACTCATCTTCTCTGCTCTCCCTCAGCGAACACTATGGTGAGTACCAGGGTTGTCGCACCAACAGCCTATGATATATGCTGGTTGAATCCGTTTCTACTCTGGTTCTGGGAGACTGAAGCAGCCACTCGGCATGTTGCCAAGACTAGAGTCGTTAACTTTCCCGTCTTAGTTCATGGTTGGCCTGATAGTGACAACATTAAGACAGGCGGGCATGTCTGGTTTGTTGATGTGCGGAATGACGGGCTGGGACTTGGGCCAACAAGCACAAGCTTTCCGTGCTTTTTGACATGTTCACGAAGTCAGTGGTGTCTGTTCTCCGAATACTCATACATTGATGGTCACCATCATGGGTAAGTTTTAAATCGAGCTCAAGTAACTGCGCAGGGATAGGTTTCATATCCCTCAGTGATATATTTCGTGGGTGAAGGATGCACAGTAGTCATTGAAGATTGGGATTAGAGTTAAGAGTGGTTCTCATTCTTTTGTTAACATGCATGTTCCAACAAGTCAAGCTGAACACAGAGGCTCTTGGGCATGGGGTTCTGGTGGTACAAACATTTTCAAAGTCCAGTATTAGACTACTGTTATCAAGCATGAACTGAAAGACAAAGTCAGGAAATGGCCAATTGTATGTGTAAAAAGTTACAAGCACTCAGATTTGGGTTACATTCTAGTTTACAGCAGAAAATTTAGCATATCTGAGAGAGGAAAGACCTAAGATTTAATAGGACACTACATGACCAAAGTATACCAGGACTGAGACATGATGAACCATAAGGAGATGCAGAACTTGGAGATAAACTCCAGTTCAAACCCCCTCCAAGAGAGGAAAGCTGGGCGAGCCTCCGCAGTTTCCTTTCAGAGAATACAGTTCACATGAAGGGCTGCGCATCTGGTCTTCATGAAGGACAAGGCCCAGTGGATTTAGCCTGGTCATCTTGGAATTGACTCTCACACAGGGCAATGTAGAGCTGGCATGAATTGAGGAAGGCTCACCCCTTGAGGCGGTCCCCATCAAAGTCGTTTGGGGTTGCGGGCTTCAGTCCATGTGATGGTTCATGGAGAACGGGGGCTGTCGGAGCAGCAATGGGGGCTGGTGGAGCAGGGACTGTGGGTGCAGCAGCCACCACAGGTGGATCCTGAGGTGCTTGCGTGCCTCCGGTGATTGGTAGCC